ATATTGTATGCACACAGAAATGAAAAGAAAGCTGGGTTAGCAATAGTTACATCAGACAAAACAGACTTTAAAACAAAGACTATACAAGAAACAAAGAAGGACATTAAATAATAGATGGATCAATCTAACAAGGGGATATAACATTGTAAATATCTATGTACCCAACATAGAAGCACCCACATACATAAAGCAGATATTTTCAGACACAAAGGTAAAAATCGATAGTAATACAAGAATAGTAGGGAACTTTAACACTCCACTTACATCAATAGAGAGATCATCCAAAGAGAAAATCAATAAGGAAACCATGGCCTTAAACAACAGATTAGACCAGACAGACTTAAGAGATACATAAAGAACATTCTATCCAAAACAGCAAAATATACATTCTTAAGTGCATATGGAACCCTCTTCAGGATGGATCACCTGTTTGGCCACAAAATGAGTCTCAATACATTTAACAAGACTGAAATCATATCAAGCATCTTTTCAACTACAATGGGATAGAATTAGAAATCAATTACAAGGAAAAAAAAAACCAGAAAAAACACAAATGTGAGGAAAATATGAGGAGACCAAATAACATGCAAACAAATAACCAAGAGGTCAAAGAAATCAAAGAGGAAATAAAAAAATATCTTGAGTCAAATGGAAATGGAAATACAACTTCCAAAATCTATGGGGACAGAGCAAAAATAATTCTAAGAAGGAAGTTTATAATGTTATATAGGCCTATTCTAAGAAACAAGAAAAATCTCCAATAAACAATCTAACCTTACATATAAAGAAACTAAAAAAATAAGAACAAAGCCCAAAGTTAGCAGAAGAAAGTAAATAATAAAGATCAAAGAGGAACTAAATGAAATAGAGACTGAAAAAGAAACAATAGAAAAGATCAATGAAACCAAGAGCCAGTACTCTGAAAAGATAAACAATATTTATATAGACCTACATAGGATTATGGTAAGTGAAATAAATCAGACAGAGAAAAACTACAATATAATTTCATTTATATGTAGAACCTAAAAACCAGTGAACAAATAAAAAACAGAAACAGAAGCATAAATACAGAGAATGAACTGACAGATGCCAAGGGGTGGCAGGTGGGAAGATGGGCAAAATGGGTGAAGAGAAGGGGAGATACCTGCTTTAAGGTATAATGGAATGGTAAGTCATAGGGATAAAAGGTACCACATAGGGAATATAGTCAACATTATATGATGACACGTGGTAGCTATACCTGTGGTGGGTGTAACAATGTAAACTTGTCAAATCATTATGTTGTACACTTGAAACTAATGTAATAATGTATGTCAATTATACTTCAATTAAAAAAAAAAGAAAAGATTTAAAACAAGGACAATGATAAACCTTTACCTAGAAGGACTCCTCAAGAAAAAAAGAGGGGGCCCAATAAACAAAATCAGAAATAAAAGAGAAGTTACAACTAACACCACACAAATACAAAGAATTACAAAAGATCATTATGAAAAATTATACATCAATAAATTGGACAACCAAGAAGAAATGGATAAATTCCTAGAAACATAAAATCTTCCAAAACTGAATCATCAAGAAAAAGAAAATCTGAACACTGTTTACCAGTAATGAAATACCATCAATAATCAAAAAAAAAAAAAAAAAAAAAAAAAAAAAAAAAAAAAAAAAAAAAAAAAAAAAAAAAAAAAAAAAAAAAAAAAATCCCAGCAAAACGTCCAGGACCAGACAGCTTCACAGGTAAATTCTACCACACACTTAAAGAAGAGTTAATACCTATCCTTCTGAAACTATTCCAAAAACAACAGTGTAGGAACACTTGCAAATTAATTCTATGCGATACCAAAACCAAAGACATTACAAAAAAAGAAAATGACAGGTTAATACACCTGATGAATATAGATGCAAAAATCCTCAACAAAATATTAGCAAACCAAATTCAGTAATATATTAAAAGAATCACACACCATGATCAAATGGCATTTATTCCAGAGATGCAGAGATAATTCAATATCCACAAATCAACTGTCATACACATTAACAAAATGAAGGATAAAAATCATACAATCTTCTCAACAGATGCAGAAAAAAACATTTGACAAAAATTCAATATCCATTTATGATAAAAATTCTCAACAAAGCGGGTACAGAGAGAACATACCACAACACAATAAAGACCAGAGATGACAAACCCCCAGTTAATATCACACTCCACAGTGAAAAAAATGAAAGCTTTTCCTCTAAGATCAGGAAAACAAGACAAAGATGCCCAGGCTTGCCACTTTCATTCAACACGGTACTGGGAATCTTAGTCACAGCAATCAGAGAAGAAAAGTAAATAAAAGGCATCCCAATTGGCAGGGAAGACATGAAATTGTCACTATTTGCAGATGTGCAAATAGAAATTTGTTAGAAATTTCTATTCGTTAGAAAACACTAAAGACCACACCATAAAACAATTAGAATAAATTATTTCAGTAAAGCTGGAGGATACAAAAGTAATATACAAAAATCTGTTCCATCTCTACACAGTAAAAAACTAGCAGAGAGAAAAATTAAGAAAACAATCCCATTTACAACTGCATGAAAAAGAAAAAAATACCTAGGATTACCTAGGAATAAATTTAACCATAGAGGTATAAAACCTGTACTCTGAAAACTGTAAGACATTGATGAAAGAAACTGAAGATGACATAAATTGAAGACAAACTGTGCTCACGGACTGGAAGAACCAATGCAGTCAAATGTCCACACTATCCAAAGCAATTTATAGATATAATGAAATCCCTATCAAAATACCAATGGCATTTTTCACAGAATTAGAACAAATAACCCTAAAATTTGTATGGAATCACAAAAGACCCAAAAAGCCAAAGCAAATCTTGAGAAAGAAAAAGCTGGAGGTATGCTCCCAGATTTCAAACTATACTGCAAAGCTATAGTAATCAAAACAGTATGGAACTGGCATAAAAACAGGTCAACAGAACAGAGAGTCCAGAAATAAACTTACACTTTATTTGGTCATTCTATGACCAAAAAATCCAAGAATATAACAAATGGGGAAAAGACTGTCTCTTCAACAAATGGTGTGCAGAAAAATGGACAGCTACATGCAAAACAATGAAACCAGAACTGCTTTCATACACAATATACAAAAATAATCTCACAATGGATTGAAGACCTAAATGTAAGACCTGAAACCATGGAACTCCTACAGGAAAACAACATCAGTAAATTCTTGAACATCAGTCTTAGCAATTTTTTGGGTGTTTTGGATCTGTTTCTTCAGGCAAGGGCAACAAAAGCAAAAATAAGCATTTTTTTTGTTTGTTTTCTGATGAGACTGTACCAAACTAAAAATCTTTTACACAACATAGGAAACCATCAACAAAACAAAACAGCAACCTATTGAATGGGAGAAGATATTTGCAAATGATATATAAGAGATTAATATCCAAAAAAAAAAAAAATCAATACCCAGATTACATATAAGGACTCCTACAACTCAACATCAAAAAAACCCAAATAATCTGATAAGAAATGGGCAGAAGACCTGAATAGACATTCCAGAAAAGACATACAGATGGCCAACAGACACATGAAAAAATGCTCAACATCGCTAATCTTCAGGTAAATACAAATCAAAACCACAATGAGGCATCACCTCATGCCTATCAGAATAGTTACAATCAAAAAGAGAAGAAGTGGCAATCCCTATCAAAATAATACCAGCATTCTTCACAGAGCCAGAACAAACAATCCTAAAATCTGTATGGAACCAGACAAGACCCCAAATAGCCAAAGCAATCTTGAAAAAGAAAACCAAAGCTGGAGACATCACAATCCCAGACTTCAAGCTGTATTACAAAGCTGTAATCATCAAGACAGTATGGTACTGGCACAAGAACAGACACTCAGATCAATGGAACAGAATAGAGAACCCAGAAATGGACCCACAAACATAGGGCCAACTCATCTTTGACAAAGTAGGAAAGACTATTCAACAGAATAAAGACAGTCTCTTCAGCAAATGGCGCTGGGAAAACTGGACAGCGACATGCAGAAGAATGAACCTGGAAAAAAAAGGGGGCATAC